AGCTATAATGATATATAAGGAGGTAAAACCATAAGGTAGAAAAGACTGTCATGTACTTAAGAAATTTAGTGAGAGAAACCACAAGCTAGATTAAAACAGGCGAGGATGAACTGTAAAAAGACTATGCATGCCAGGTTAAAATAAATACAACTCCATGGTAATGTACAAGTCTAAACATAAAACGATACTGTGAAACGGCACAATGATAAATTTCGAAGATGAAATCAGAATATGCAACCAGGATTCATGACATGCTGAGGACTAAAATTTTACTATGTAACGACACACTCCCTATAATCTAAAGCCTGAGTGGCATTCTCAATTTGCTTTTCTTTCCGGGATTCTAGTTATCACAGGCATTAATCTCTCAGTAATAGATTCTAGCAATGAACAGTTTTCCCACAGTATAGTTGCTTACATCTTATCACTGACATCTTCCAGCATGTTCATCAATTTCTTGGCTAATTGCTGCCTCCGATATTCAGGAGCCACAGTTACTGCAGTGACATGGCCATGCCAAGATTCACCTTGCCCTTCAACCTTTCCCATAACTGCACGTATAAACTAGACATTAGTTACCTTATTAAAAGAAAACCAGACAGTAGTTAATCATTATCAAAAAAACAAAAAACTAGACATTAGTTAAAGAAACACATGTTCCTTGTGAGTCATTTTGGGAAACACAGAAGACAAACTCTTGTTTTGGTTTACTAGAACCAGAATGTACCAGACAGTAGCCAAACTAAGACGAAACTACATGATTGACATCTAGCCGCTCTGTCACAAATGTTTCAGTCTATAACATTTTAAAAGACATTAGTGACAACTTGTAAATGAGACCCTTTTTTTAAAATGGTACCTACTGAAATTGAATCCTTTTCACTAAATGAAGTCGAAGGGAATGGTTACTTGCATCTGTTTTAAGCCTAGGACCTTTTACTGGAAATTTTGCGAGGAAAAGAAAATAATGTTATGTGTCTACGGGACTAGAATTTTAAAATCCACCTAAAGCTGCACAAGTAATCTACTTTCTGATCTGAGCAGCCAATGCTCAGGTCAGTAATCCTTACTACTAATTTTAGAAAGATATAGCATTAACGAAGAGGAAGCTTTGCTAATCTAACCCTTCTTACTTTCTGAATGACACCATCTTGGAAAGTCCTAAGCTGACATATAATAATCAGTCAAGTACAAGGCATCTAACAACTTCAGGACTAGAGAATATGGTAGACACCATCATCTCCTCTGATCTAAGTGACTAGCTATTACACACAATAAAATTTAAATATTGAGAAGAAAAGTTATGCAAATTTAAATTGCACCGGTGTTACAGAACTATCTAAAGATGAGTTAAGTAAGCACCAAGGGGTCGTTTCGTTGGAGAGATATGGGATAACAATCCCAGATAAAAAGTGGGATTATTTTATCCGTGTTTGGTTATGTGTATCAATTAGTCCCAGGAACCATTTTATACTAAAATGGTAGAATTAACTATCCCATATAGAAGGTGGGATAGCTAATCCCATGGGATATCCCAACCTATTCGATATCCTTGTCTATCCCATCTTGGTAACCAAATGACCCCTTAAGTCATTATTGAAGTAGAATTGTTCTCAATAAATAAATTTAAAAGATTGAATTCCATTGTCTAATCATGAACTATTCTTTTCTTTCCTTGATAACGGCGGTGTTTAGGTAGCTTGCACACACCTCAATTATTGCATAGTTTACCAATTACCTCCCACCAATATAAACACCGGGTAATTCTGCTCATCAAGGCCTAGACAAAAAAGGGTAGCTCAGTGCACAAAGTATCTCGTGCTCACGCAAGGTCTAGGGAAAGGCCGCACTCCAAGGGTGTGTGATGCAGGCAGCTTACATGGATGCAGTCATCACGTTGATTCCATGACTCGAACCCGTGACCTATAGGCCACACGAAGATAACTTTACCGTTGCTCCAAGCCTCTCTTTCCCACCAAGGCCTAGATCAAAGAAATTACTTGCGTCTTTGAACTTTGGTCTACCATAATTTTCACCCGTGTCATTAACTGCTAAATCACACCCCTCGGGTGCCTGTCAAATCATGAACTATAAACGAGAGCTTTGGGTATCTTACTTCTAATTCTTGCAACTCTTGTCTTGATCTTCAAAGATTTTCTATATTACTAAAAGAATCTAGTAGGACCGTTACCTACCACTAAAGAATTTTTTCAACGCTTCAAACTTACATTTGATAGTTTCTCATTTAACCAATCTATGTAAATTAAATAAGCATCATTCGCCAACTTAAAATCATCCTTAAAAAGCTATGAATTTCAAAATCTACAGTGGAAGAACTCACTGTATCCCATTATTCTGCCACCAGGAGCTTCTGCAACATGGAAATAGTCCGGCCATCTCGCCATGTATGTCATGTAGAATGACATGTTGAACTACATCACAAGTTAAAAACTCGTTTCAAATTCTAACAAAAGCACTATAAATCATGTTAAAACTCGTTCAAATTTTACAAGGTACTAATAATCATGTTAAGTCTCGTTTCAAAAACTGAAAAAAGGAACCAAAAGCATGTTAAAGCTCGTTCAAATTTGACAAGGTACTATAAATCATGTTAAACCTCGTTTTAGTAAAATTATAAAACGGCACCATAATTCATGTAAAAACTCGTTTCGAAATCCTAAAATCCACAAAAAAAAAAAAAAAAAAATGTTTCAAATCCTGAACACTAAAAAGTCATGTGGTTTTCGCTCAGAATAAGAACACGAAATTTAGCGAAAAAATAAAATATAAACAGGAGAAAAGAGAGCTAAATGATTTACAGTTTCAGTAAGATGATCAAGATTGACTGAGGCGAACCGGAGAAGGTCATTGCAGCTGAATCTACGAATCGTCGTCATCCTTTCTCTCTCTTCTTTCCTTTTCTCTCTCTCTCTGCTCAACTCTCTGGTATGTACGGGCGATAATGGATGCCGAGGCCCTTTGTGTGTTAGATGTGAACATCACGGCCCAAAAACCTTTCACCCGGCCCGGAAAGGAAAAGTTCACGCCGGTCTACTAATTTAGGGCAAAATAAAATATTGGCCGAAACTAATTGCATATTCTCTAGCAAAAAGTATATATATAATATACTAATATATGCATATAATACAAAAATATATAAAAGATATATATTTTTCGTCGGCTATTATTTTTAGGAACGGCTAAAAATATATATTTTTCTTAAGAATATTTTCCAAAGTTATGTAGTAAGTTTTTAAAATTATTATTCAACCTATAATAATCGCCTTATTTACTAGTTTACAGATTAATACTTATCGTAAAAATTTACTTATTACCCCTAGAGAGAGTATTATTTTACAAGTGAGATGATGGTATTAAAAAAGAATTATACCTCATCGCATTGAGCTTAAATTCATTGACGAAGCAAGCAAAACGATGTTGTTGTTTGTTTAAGATGCATTGAGTAAGTTTAAAAATTGGAACAACTGCTAATACTCTATTTTGAATCGGTTCAATGAAATTCTTTTTATAGTAATTCCATTATTTTCCGTATAAAAAACATGCATCTATATCATAATTGTAGTTTAATCAACTGAATACATTTCACCGTGAATAGTCAGTCATTGGTTTACATGGGGGGAAAAACCATACGTGATTAATAACATATAAGTGACAAGAAAATTCATAATGAATTGAAATATGTACATTGTCAGTTTGTGACCTTGAATTCTAGATCTTATCCTGGACGAAATGGGCTATGATCTTCTGAAGAAAATGGAAGCCCCCCTCAGTATTTCCAGTGGATTCAGCTTTGGCATTTATAATAGAGATATCAATCAGAACTTTGGTTATGGCAGTCAACATCTTGTGCTACTCCAACTAGAATTCTAACCAAATTTAATCTGGTACAGTTGATCTAGTTTGCCCTATTTACCCAGTTCTTGTCTAGTTTGGTTCTCCTTCCTTTTTTGTCTCTGATATTGAAATTAGGAAAGAGGATCTTCCATCTGTACAAGTAGCATAATTAATTAAGGAGCCCATTTTATTTCCTTTAGTGCCCAACTCTCCTATTAGATAGCACACTTGATCAGGAAACAGTAGAAACATTCAACTATATAATCGTCAAAAATACAGTTATTGCTACACTGTTTAGAAAGCTTCAAATATACAAGTAGCTTAACAAGTATTTATTGTTATTAATCAGACAAACATATGGGGCGTGCATTTTCTGAAAACGTTTCAATCTTTTGAGATTATCTTCTACGAAATAAGAATGTGAATTTAGAGACATAACAAGAACGTACAGACAAAAATCACAACAATCACTTCTAGATAATTGCGGGTAATAACTTGTATCCCGTTAATCGCCGTGTGCTATCTTTAAAGTCGGGAAATCAATATCAATATTTTGAAAAAGTGTGACTTTGAAAGGAGCTGATCTTGAGATTTTGACTTTGGGGCACGTTAACTGACCTATGGATAAAACTTTAAGTTTAACAAGTTTTGATCATGGGGCAAAACTTTTGACCTTTAACATTTATTGAGACTATGTATTTTTCTTTGTATCTTTGAGTAGTGTAGTGGTTATATCTTTGAGTAGTGTAGTTGGTACAGTTGTGTGCAGCTGTACACATACATGTATACAGTATAAATAGGGGTTAGATATTTTGTACAGATACACTTTACACTTTTCAATATCATTGTATTCTTTCATCTTAGCTCACTCTCGAAATGAAAGAGAAGGTTCCAGTAGAACCCTAGTTTCCTCTGTCCGCCATTAAAGCTCAATCAAGGTGACTTTCTCTCTTGTTTCCTCTGTAATTTTGTCATGGTATCAGAGCTAGGCTCTCAATCCTAAGCTCAATCTGTTGACTCTTCACCCAATCACATCCCTACGACAATTTTAATAGTGCAAAAATTTCAATTTCCCCAATTTCAGCTCGGTTCTTCAGAAAAGTTTCAGACGAGGTTAATTTCTATTCAAAAACTAATCGATAAGTATGGCTATCGACGAGAACACAACGGATTCTACAAATCCACTTCTGGATTCGACAAATCCTCTCTACATGCATCCTTCTGAAAATGCGGGATCTATGCTTGTACCAGTACCTTTCGACGGATCGGGATATAGGTCATGGAGAAGAGGAGTTCTCAGAGCTCTTTTGGTGAAAAATAAAGTGGGATTCATAAACGGGAAATGCACAAAGCCAGATCCAAGGATCCTAACTTTGATCAATGGGAACGCTGTGACGACATGGTCACATCATAGATTCTAAATTCTATATCGAAAGATTTAGCGGATAATCTGCAATACGTTAATGATGCTCAAGAGCTTTGGCAGGAATTGGAGGATAGATATGACCAAACAAATGGAGTAAAGCTGTATCAGTTACAGAAAGAGATAAATGACTTGAGTCAAGGAACCCTAGACATCATTGGATACTATACTAAGATGAAGAAGCTCTGCGAAGAGCTGAACACATTGAATGCACATGCTCAGTGCAAATGCAACTGCACATGTGGTGCTAAAGCAAATATGCAGAAGGCTGAGCAAGACAGAAGGTTAATTCAGTTCTTAATGGGACTAAACGAAGTCTATACTGTGGTAAGGGGAAGTATTCTAATGATGAACCCGTTGCCCTCACTCGCACAAGCCTTTTCAATTCTTATCCAAGAAGAAAAACAAAGAGAAGTCAAGCCAAATAGTCAGTTTGTAATTGAGTCTACTGCCCTGAGTGCTAATAGATCAAATGCTTTCAGAACAAACTATAATCAACAACCAAATTCTGCGGATAATACTAGATATACAAACTATAATCAACAAGGAAACAGGATTGGGAACAATAACTATAGGGGAGGTTACTCTGGAAGCAAACCTCGACCCTTCTGTGACTATTGTAAGAAACCGGGCCACACTAAGGAAAGATGCTACAAATTTCATGGTTATCCACAAGACTCAAGGTTCAACAAGGGAAAAAGGATTGTTGCTAATGTACATGGAGGACAAAGTGAGAATAGCATGGAAGGTCAAGATGGAGATAGTGGTCAAGTACAAGAACATGATCGAACCATGCAGAACCTTACAAAGAAACAATATAATTAGTTGCTGAGCATCTTGAAGAATTTTCATGCTGGAAATGGAGAAAATGAAATGAAGGCAGGGGCTGTGAACTTTGCAGGCATTTCAGCTTGCTCAACTTCTTTTGATTCTGGTGCTAACTCAAATGAGTGTTTTAGATCAATTGCTGATTCTTGGATACTTGATTCTGGGGCATCAAACCATATGACCTACAAAAAGTTCATGTTAACCAATATAAAAACTTTATTATATCCTTTCCTAGCTACATTACCTAATGGCTATAAGGTGAAGGTGACATTAATGGGAGATGTAGTCATGAGTCCTAAATTCACCCTGAAAAAGGTCTTGTTTGTCCCTAGTTCCAAGTTCAACCTAATCTCTGTACATTGTTTAACAGTCCAACTTGATTGCTTTGTCATATTCACCAAGTTTGCTTGTATCCTTCTGCAGGCCCCTTCACTGAAGAGGCCTCTGGCAATTGGTAAAAGCAAAGATGGTTTGTACCTTTATACTTCAGATTCCTGCAAGTCTAATGCCCTGTTTCATGCCAGTTCATCTAATAAAGGTGACTTAGTCACTCAGTCTGTTTCACACACTCCATCTAGTCTATCTAGTAGTAATGATGTTATATCACACTTTGTTTCACATGTTGTACCTAGTCCACACACTTCTTCTCATGAATGTAATAAGATTGTCACAGAATCTCATATGTAACGTAAAGGAAATGCTACTTCTACTAGCAATGCATCTATGTCTGATAAAGATATGATTGATCTCTTGTGGCACATTAGATTGGGACATGTCCCCTTTGCCAAAATGAAAGGAGTTAAATCCATACCTATTCATTTTTTACCCAAACAACCTTTTATTTGTCCTATATGTCCAATGGCTAGACAGAACAGGTTGCCCTTTCCAGAAAGAACTACAACCACAACCAAAATATTTGAAATCCTACATGTTGATCTATGGGGGCCTTATCATGTGGCAACACATTTTATCACCCTAGTGGATGACTACAGTAGGTGCACTTGGATGCACCTACTTAGATGCAAAAGTAATGCTTTGCAGGTAGTCAAAGACTTCACTACCATGGTAAAAAATCAATTCAATTGCTCCATCAAGACCATAAGAACTGACAATGGCCTTGAGTTCATAAATTCTGAGACTACTTCTTTCTTTCAGTCTGAAGGCATTATACACCAGAAAACTTATCCATATACTTCCCAACAGAATGGGATAGTAGAAAGGAAACACAAGTACCTGTTGGAAACAGCTAGGGCATTGTTATACCAATCAAAACTTCCCATGCAATACGGGGGAGAATGCATCCTTACCTCAACCTATTTGATTAACAGACTCCCTTCTACTACCCTTAAAAACAGATGCTCATTGGAGTTGCTTTACAACAGAAAACCCAATTATTCTCACCTTAAAGTTTTGGATGTCTTTGCTTTCCTACAACCCTTAAAACTCACAAAGACAAATTTGAAACAAGATCTTCACCTCATGTTTTTGTGGGATACCCCTTTGGGACAAAAGGTTATAAGGTCCTTAATCTAGTCACAAAGAGAATCCATGTATCAAGAGATGTTATATTCCATGAAGGTGTATTTCCTTTTGCTTTGGATTATGATTCTAATAGAGTCTTTCCTTCATTCCCACAAGTAAATTCAGATTTGGCACAAGATTTGTTTCCCTCTCATGAGTCAGCATCTGCTCCTAGTTCACCAGGTCTGCATCTTCTAACTATGTCACCTGACCGTCCATCACCAGGGCTAAATGAACCTAATTCTTATACAACTTCAGATTTTGAACAATATTCTCCTTCTTTGGTTAACAACAATCAAAATGAGATCACTACAAACAATACTCCTAATTCAGCAATCCAACAACTTAATGAAACTTTAGGGAGACCCTCGAGAACACTCAAAATTCCTACTTATTTGAAAGATTACAATTATTCACTCCCCAAGTTACAAACAAGTCACATTAACTCCCCTTCTAGCAGCAACCAAAGCTCCACCTCACTCTTTTTAATGCATCTATACCTAATGCACAGTATGTCTCACTCAATGCATTGAGTTCTGATAGTCAAAAATTGATCAAAAACATTTCTCATGAGTGTGAGCCCAGCTCATATGAAGAGGCAGCTGCTGATCCTGCATGGCAGAAAGCCATGAATCAGAAGTTTTAAGCACTATATGCCAACCACACTTAGAGCTTAGTGCCACTTCCAGTTGGTAAAAGAATAATAGGATGTAAATGGATGTATAAGGTAAAGTACAAGGCAGATGGGAGCATAGAAAGATTTAAGGCAAGATTAGTGGTAAAAGGGTACACTCAGCAGGCAGGGGTAGATTATACTAAGACTTTTTCACCTGTAGTGAAGATAACAACTGTTAGAGCCCTAATTGGTACAACAGTGAAGAAAGGATGGGAGATTTTTCTACTAGATGTCAACAATGCATTCCTCCATGGAGACCTCCATGAGGAAGTGTATATGGAGGTACCTCCAGGTCTTGTTGTGGACAGACCAGATTTGATGTGCAAATTGAACAAGTCCTTGTATGGACTGAAGCAAGCAAGCAGACAATGGTATGAGAAATTTACTACAGCACTTTGTTCAAAAGGATACACCCACTCTCTACTGGACTATTCACTTTTCTACAAGAAACATGAGACTTCAGTGGTATTTGTTGCTGTCTATGTAGATGATGTCCTAATAACAGGGACTGATTTATGAGAAATAGAGGGACTGAAGACCTTTTTGCATGAGACTTTCAAAATAAAGGACCTGGGAAAGCTACATTATTTCCTGGGGTTGGAGATTTTATACAAAGATGATGGGGTACTGATATCCCAAAGGAAGTTCACAATGGATTTACTAATAGAGTTTGATTGCACTAAGTTTTTTGCCTTGGCCTCTCCACTTGATCCTGCTACCAAGTTGAGTGCAGATGAGGGGTACTTGTTGCCAGATCCCTCTCACTATAGGCGACTAGTAGGAAAGCTGAATTTCCTAACCAACACAAGGCTTGACATATCTTACAGTGTACAACACTTGAGCCAATACATGCAAAGTCCAAGAGAGCCACACCTAAAAGCTGCATATCATGTCCTAAGGTATCTCAAAGGTGACTAAGCTTAGGGATTTTTTTGTCCAATAGCAGAGATTACAGGGTTCGAGCCTTTTGTGACTCAGACTGGGCTGCTTGCCCTGAATCAAGGAAGTCAGTCAGCGGATATGTTGTATTGCTAGGAGATAGTCCTATTAGCTAGAAATCTAAGAAGCAACACACTATGTCATTGTCCTCAGTAGAAGCAGAATACAGATCAGCTAGACAGGTTGTGGGAGAATTAGTATGGTTACTTAGGCTGCTTGAAGAACTAACAGTTCCCTTAACCTTACCTGTCCTGTTTTCTGTGATAGCCAAGCAGCCCTCCATATAGCCAAGAACCCTGTATTCCATGAAAGCACAAAACACATAAAAGTGGATTGCCACTTTGTAAGGAATCAGTTACACGAGGGCCTCATCTCACTACATCATATTTTCACACATGAGCAGCTGGCAGACATATTCACCAAGCCTCTCACAGGAATCAAACATTGCAATCTACTTAGCAAGTTGGTTGTGAGTTCCTCCCTTCCAACTTGAGGGGGGAGGGGGGGGGGGAGAGTATTGAGACTATGTATTTATCTTTGTATCTTTGAGTAGTGTAGTGGTTACATCTTTGAGTGGTGTAGTTGGTATAGCTGTGTACAGCTATACACATACATGTATACAGTATAAATAGGGGTTAGATATTTTGTACAGATACACTTTACACTTTTCAATATCATTGTATTCTTTCATCTTAGCTCACTCTCGAAATGAAAGAGAAGGTTCCAGAAGAACCCTAGTTTTCTCTGTCCGCCATTAGAGCTCAATCAAGGTGAGCTTTCTCTCTTGTTTCTTCTGTAATTTTGTCAACATTGAAGGTTAATTAGTCCATCGGTCACGTGACCTGCCTCAAAAGCTAAAAGTTAAAGACTACCCCTAATGATGTCCTATTTCTGCCATTTTATGACATACCTCAAGCCTTTTATTGCGCCAGGCCCACATGATTTCTTCCAAAGTGGCTCACATTATTAAGAATATCCCCTTACTACCTTATATCTTGTTTTTCAATCTTTTCACTAACCAATGTGAGACCTTGTTCACACACCTTACAATTTCTCTTTCGAACTAAGTTCCACATGCCCCATCATAAGCCCCTAAAACAATTGACCCATCAACAAGCCCCTCAAACTAAGTTTTACATGATCTATTACCATGATGCACAAGTCAATATCCACGATTCATTGTGTGTCACACCCACATGACTGAGCACTTATGGCCACTGAAGCCCAGAGCTAGTTTCTTGTCCACACTCATCTCCAAGCTACCTTTGGAGTGGTAAAGGTAGTTAATTGAGCTCCACATCATCTTACTTTTTCATTTTTATACTCGTCTCGCCGATTCATTGGCTCCGATATTAGTTGTTGAAACCAGCCCAAAAATACTCTTAACGTGGTATAATATATATTGTTTGCTTTGGGCCAAACCAGCACTATTTTTTCCAAAAGGCCTTGCAGCATTAAGACTATGTATACACCTTATATATGTGTAACTTCTCAATCTTCGCAACTACCAATATAGGACCTTGCTCGCACCCAACACCTTTTTTTCAATGTTCTTTGCTACATTCTTCTTTCTTTCCTTATGAAATTTCTAACAAACACACAGAGTACACACAAAGAGGCCGGGTGGGGTGGGGGTGGGGGGGGGGGTGTTAGACGAATGGTTGTTTTCTCTGCATGCATTTTGTAGTGGATGCATTTGAATTTAATAGAAGGGTATGGCAAATTTCGGCATGCAGTAGCAGATGGATCAATTATACTGACACCATGTGCTTCTGCTTAAGCTCTTCTGCAGATCATCAGAAACATCGATCCATATTGACCACTAAACCCTATATCAAACTTAGACTCTCCCCAGCCTATTCTTTCACACAAGCCATTTTGCATGGACATGAGGACTTGATATCAGTTACTCATTTTGGCCTCATTCTTTTACTTCTTTGTACTTACCTTATCTTCTACCCATAATAGAAAGAGAAAATGGGCAGCACTATTACTTATTAACTTTCTATATATGGATCTCCATTTCTTTCACTTTCGATCAACTTGTTGTTCCTATAACTCGTCTATTTATCACACTTTGTTTATTTCTTTGAAATGCCTAAGAAAAGAGAAGATGATGAAGGTAGAAGATCAAGAACACCGAAAGGGCATTTTGTTGTATATGTTGGCAGTGAAATGAAGAGGTTTGTGGTGCCTACATCTTACTTGAAGAATCCATTGTTCCAAAACTTGCTTGATAAGGCTGCTGAAGAGTATGGTTTTGATAATAGGAATATAATCCTTCTTCCTTGTGATGAATCCACATTTAGTAGGCTTATTGCCATTTTGGCAAGGTCTAGATCATTCAATACAAGAATAATCCCCAATTGACTAACATCTTTATGTGCTTCCATCTCTCAGTAAATGGACTTAACTTTACACTATGTCTTATTTTGCAAGTTAGTATTAATTAATTATCCATAGTATGAATGGTTATCAGCACTAATTATCTTTGAATGATATGATAGTATATAAAATTTTATATATGTTGCATCTTCTGTCCCGCATAAAGTAATACATAAATTGACTCATAACTTATAGTAGTACTTGTTTTATTTATATGGAATTGTCAAATGATAACCAAACACCGTACGTGGTGTGCTGAATTTTATACGAAGCAACTAAAAAACTACCAAACATAATATTAGCTATGCTAATTTTAATACATGAATAATTCCCTTACTAACAAGCAATCAAACGACCCCTTAATTTTGTCTGGCTTAACGCTTTATGCACCACATAGTAGCCATCAACATACTTGCAAACAAACACCATCAATAGGACAAGGAGTATTCAATGTGCAGGTATTGAATTCCTTTTGCTAAGTAGTCAATTACTTAATAAGTCAGCTGCATGTTGCAGCTTTGCGCGCTACAGCAGCTTGGCATATTTTGACAAACCAAAAGATCAAGAATCACTACTGGCCGGAAAGAATAATAACTTCTTAAACACTTTGATCTTCGATAGCAATTATATTATATGGTGGTTTCTGATTACGTAAATTTTATTTTAAAAGGTTGAGATATTGATATATATTCAAATTAACATAACAGTTATTATATACATAGCTAGTATAAGTTATGATATCCATAACTTTAGGAAAGAAATCAAGTGTTAATTGAGTGACAAGGATAGGGCACTTTTTATGCCTTCACACGATATACAGAATATTAGTACTCCTATTGCGGCTCTGACTTCTGTGTATGAGGATTAACTGAGTAATATAAATCATACCTTTTTATTGATAACAATATCTAGAAATATTTCTCTAAAAGATTATAGTAATAAGAAAAAGGGAACTATTGGGGCTCTAAGTTATACAATTCTTCCATTGTAAGAATATTGCTATACAATGAGAAATTAAAGATGGATTAATACAGCGGATATTCAACATATTATAAGCGCAGCAATTAAACTACTATTAAAGACTCCTTTAATGAATTTTATGCGGTATCCAATTCGAATAAGTTATGGTTCTAATATGAAGTAACGAATATCGAATGAAAAAAATTATTCAGATGAACTACGTCCAAGTGTTATGCACAGGCACTATGAATGCTAATGACACCCCTTCACGGAAAAATACACTATGTAGGTAGGTACAAAAATAAATTTTATGTATATATTATGTATTGACTTCCCTTAATTTTTTGGTATGTTTATTTTTATATATTTTGATATTCCTTAATGAAAATTCTGACTCCGCCACCGCTAGTAATTCCAAATACCCAACCAACTACGCTTTTTATTTCCCTTACTTTTGTTAGGATTTTAGACTTTTGAAACCAATTGGAAAATTTTGTTGTCATTGGAAGCAAAGCCACCTTTCACGTCTCTCTTTTACATTTTAGTCCTCAATCAATGACCCACGGAAAAAGTTCTATTTTGATGAAAAAATGATTTAGCTATTTTTCAAGACAGACATTCCCAAAATTAAAATAAAAGCATTTTCTCTTGCTTTTCCTATCTATGTCAACAATGGATAAGATGTACACTTCATTATATTCCCCACTGTAATATTATACAATATTATGGACCCCTTTATGATATTTTCTTATTTGTTATTAATTTCACGTTTTCATATTGAAATATATTTCAAGTATATACAGAATCTCAAAGCCTGTGAAATTTATTTCATATATTCAAGTTAAATTTTGTAAAGACCAATTGATTTGAATCAGATTTTAATTCCTTTTAAAGCAACAAAATAAATCCTGAGAAAATGACATAAAATAATATAATCTGATTAAAAGAATTAAAAGAAAAATCGATTATATGGGCGTTTTCCCCTCAACAAAATCTGTCTTGATTTTCAATTGCCATAAATAGATAAGGATCCACTTCATCCGGGTCCAGAACCGAAATGTGGTTCTTTTGGACACAAAACACTTTTTTAGATGTAAAAAAAAAAAAAAAAAAAGCTACCATTCTATATAAAACGCAGCTGAATACCGCGCTTTACTGGAAGCTGATAAGATAGCTATATAAAGCGCGGTTCATTACTGCGTTTTATATAAAACGCAGTAAGAAACTGCGTTTTACATGTTTTGCGGGCCCACCAATAATTCTTCTGCGCTTAACTGACATAACAATAATTCAAATATGTAAAACGCCCTTTTAAACTACGTTTTACTTCCAAAAATTCGACCCCCCTTCCCCCCCCCCCCCCCGGATTGGGCATTGCCTTATATAAAGGCGTTAAGGGTTTTGAGAAAAAGCATTCAGAAATACTCCAACTTCGTGATAAATTTTTCTTGTTGCTAAATTCTCAAGTTTTTTTCATAATGTCTGAAGAGTGAAAAGTAAGGGTTTCATTATATTGGAGGGGGGGGGTGAGGTTGTGGCGGCGAATAACTCAGTGAGCTATAGTTTATCTCCACAGAGTCATGTTAAGTTGCCACTTTCAATGGAGTACGATAGACAGGTATCGTTGTTATGCAATAAAATGAGGTTGAGCAAACGTTCGGTGTATCTTAAAATAACCGAAAGATATCTGTATTCTGTGACTCCGCAAGGGGTTGCTTGTTACGCTGAGTTTAACATCGAGGATGATGAAACTTTGAGAGATTTTTTGGGG